TCCCGGGACACCATAGTAGAATGGTGTTACAGAACAGAAGAAAAGAATTCTACTTGAGCGAGCTTGGTGTATGCTTTCGCATGCAAAATTGGGAAAGGAATTTTGGGCCGAAGCAGTGAATACGGCTTGTTACCTGATTAATCGATCTCCATCATCTGCTATCGAGTAGAAGACTCCTGAGGAAGTATGGTTGGGGAAACCTATTGATTACTCCGGATTACGGATATTCGGATGTCCTGCGCATGCTCATGCGAGTGATGGTAAACTTGAGCCAAGGGCTAAGAAGTGCATATTTCTGGGTTATGCACAAGGCGTGAAAGGCTACTGGCTGTGGTGCACTGATCCCAAATCACCTGATTTTCTAATCAGCAAAGACGTAATCTTTGACGAGACTGTAATGCTTCAAAAGAGGAGCTTTGAGACTCAACCAGTAGAGCAAACGGATCATGGTGTCAGTAGTGAGGTGGAGCTTCAAGTGGAGCCTCCGGAGACCTCAGAGATAACAGAGGAAGAGACTGTGAATGAGGCCACAGTTCCTGAAAACGGTGATACTGAACAACCAGTAGAACCGCAGCACAATATAGCCACAGACAGACAAAGAAGGCAAATCAAACCACCGGTACGTTATGGTTATTCTGATATTGCCTATGTATTGACTGTAGGTAGGGAAGTAGAGGTAGATGAGCCTTCGTCCTACTCTGAAGCAATGGCTAGTACTGAGTCATCACAGTGGCTAGATGTTATGAGTGAAGAGATAGAATCGCTCTATTAGAATCAGACATGGGAGCTGGACAAAGTACCCAAAAGTCAGAAGATTGTCAGGTGCAAATGAGTCTACAAGTGAAAGGAAGGCATTCCCGGTGTCAAGATAGCAAGATACAAGGCGAGACTTGTTGCGAAGGGGTATACTCAGCGAGAGGGCATCGACTACAATGAGGTGTTCTCTCTTATTGTAAGACATACTTCGATTCGTGTATTACTTGCCTTAGTTGCTGCACAGGATCTCGAGCTGGAGCAGCTAGATGTGAAAACAACGTTTCTTCATGGTGAGTTGGAAAAACGAATTTACATGAGGCAGCCAGAGGGATTTGCTATTCCAAGTAAGAAAGACCATGTTTGCTTATTAAAGAAATCTTTGTATGGGCTAAAACAATCTCCTAGACAGTGGTACAAGCGTTTTGATACTTTCATGACTAGTCAAGACTATTCGAAAAGTCAGTTTGATAGCTGTGTTTATTTTAGAAGACCAGAGAATGGGTCTTTGATTTGCCTATTTTTATATGTTGATGACATGTTAATCGCAGCTAAACATATGTCTGATATTGATGTGCTGAAGCGGCAGTTGAGTGCTGAGTTTGAGATGAAAGATTTAAGTGCTGCTAAGAAAATATTGGGTATAAAGATTTTGCATGCCAGGACTGTAAGAACGTTGCGTTTATCTCAAAAGAAATATATTGAGAATATTGTAGCACGCTTTAACATGCAGTAAGCAAAATCTGTAAGTACTCCTTTAGCCGCACACTTTAAACTTTATGACAAGTTATCACCACAGACTAAGGAGGAGGAGGAGCATATGTCATGTGTTCCTTATTCTACTGCAGTGGGTAGTATCATGTACGCCATGGTATGCACTAGGCCTAACATTTCACAAGCTGTAAGTGTTGTCCGTGGACACATGACGCGCCCAGGTAAGGCACATTGGGAAGCTAAGAAATAGATCCTCGGATATTTAAAGGGGACATCAGACGTTGATATTGTGTACCGAAGGGACAGCAATGACAATGAGATCATAGGGTATGTAGATTCCGATCATGCTGGTAACTTGGATGACCGCAGATCATTAGCGGGGTATGTATCTATGCTAGCAGGTGGTGCAGTAAGTTGAAAGGCATCCTTATAGGACAATGTTGCCTTATCTTCAACAGAGGTAGAGTACATGGCACTAACCTTTATAGCGAAAGAAGTGATATGGCTAAGAGGTTTGCTCTCGGACCTTGGACTGGAGCAGAAAAGTATCACTATACATTGTGACAATCAAGGTGCGATATATCTAGCTTATAATCCGATATATCACGAGCGAACGAAGCATATTGATATCAGGTACCATTTTATTCGAGATATCATAGCGAAGGGCAAGATTGTTGTGAATAAAATAGCAATAGCTGAGAACCCGGCAGACATGATGATGAAACCCGTTCCTTTGGCGAAGCTCGAGCTCTGTTTGAGCTCGATAGGTGTCTGTAGAGAGTAAGCGCCCGTCGGGGCGTCGGGAGAGCCAGCATGGATAATAAGCACTATAATTTGGCTACAAACGTTAAGTCAAAGTAGAGAATTGTTAAATTATATCTCGAGTTTAAGTCAATACACAATACCCGATCAGCATGTGCATGATTTATCAGTACACTGAAATGAGGAAGCACGTCCGCGGAGCATTTAATGAGAAACGGCGCATGTTCTGACGAAAGAATTATCCCCGCTCTTTCCATGGCCAACGTGCAGCATTTAATGAAGGACTCACAAGCTATTTTCTTCTTTGACCATATATGAAAGCTCCTTCAAAGTAGTCGCAAGAAGAATAGGCCAAAGTAATAAATTGCAGGCTTCATTTGTCTTCATTCATAACTCTGTAATTCTCCTAATTATTAATGGATTATTTGCTGGTTCTTTCCTTGGACATAGATTTCGACATTCGGACAGAATTACGTAAATTTCTTGTGTTCTTTTATTGTTTCTCATTTTATTTCTCTATTATTTCTACGGCTCTCGATTTAATTGCAAAGCTTACAATCCGCTTCCGCCGCGTCACCTGATTATACAACAACATATGAAATTATTGCTCAATGATATATTATAAATCATGATGATGTGCATTTAGGATTGACAAATTTTCGAAATATCAAGCATACAGCACAGATCATAACACAAGCAAGGCTAAAACTTTGGTGAGTACACTTTTAATTTTGATAAACAAGTAATAAACGGGAGTTTTAATATGACAACTGTTAAAGTAAAATGTATTTAATAGTGGCCATGTACATCGTAAAAATCCAATAATATATAGTTTCTATCTGTGCAAACAAGAGCGTGTTGACTTGACTGTTACAGAGGTACAAGGATACTAATGGTGTCTGGAAACTGTAAATATGGAAAAAAAAAATGAAAGAAAGAAGGATAGATTCCATCGTGCATAGTCCGACTTGAAATCACAGTAACCTACCGCCCGACGTATGTTAGATCGACATGTATCCTTGAAATTGTCACCACAAAAGTGTCCTAATTTCTAACCAAACTGGGCAACTTGCTTTGCTTTTGCATCCTTTTTCAACCAAACTTTTTTAGGAGTTTGACATCCTATTACAATTACAACGGAAAAAATGTTGAAAAAGTTATAAACCTTTTGCATTGATGCCAATTTAGTCATAAATATTTTTTTGATGCCAATCGAGTCCAAATTTTTTTTGTCTTTGAGTCAATTCAGTCATTTCGGCTAATTTTGGCCGGATTTTGGTGACATGGACGCCGGCCGGCCTACATGGCGCCACCGGCGTTGACATGGATAAATTTTAATAATATTTTAAAATTATTTTCTGATTTTTTTTCTTTTTTCCTTCTTTTCTTTTTCTTTCATCTTCCTTCAACCTAGGGTCGGTGACCAGCCACCCTGGCCATGGCGGGGTTGGCAAGCCCCTCACCTGGGCGAGGCCGCCATCGCCCGCCACAGGCGAGGACGCCCTGGCGAGGGGAGCCCTTGCCCAAGCAAGGCCCAACGAAGGTTGGCCTCGCCCAGGCCAGATTTGACTAGGCCGGCCCTCGCTCAGGCCACGACGGCCTCGCCAAATTTGGCTTGGGCGAGGTCGACCCTCACTTGGCCTGGGCGAGGGCCGACCTTGCCAGATTTGGCCTAGGCGAGGCCAACCCTTGCCTAGCCAGGGCAAGGGCGTGCCCCGGCAAGGGCTCCCCTCCTTGGGGACTCCCTTGCCCAAGCGAGGGTCAGCTGAGGTGGCCGGCCACTGGTCACAGGTGGCCGCTCACCGGCCAAAGGTTGAAGAAAGAAGAAAGAAAAATAAAAAAAGGAAAAAAGAAAAAAAAATCATAAAAAAATAATTAAAAAATCGAAAAAATATTACTAAAAATTGTTCACATCAATGCCGGCGGCATCACGTAGGCCGGCCGGCATCCACGTCACCAAAATCCGACCAAAATTAGTTGGAAGTACTAAATTGCCATAAAGACAAAATATTTAGGACTCAATTGGCACAAAAAAAAAGTTTAGAACTAAATTGGCACCAATGCAAAATGTTTAAGACTTTTTCAACACTTTTCCCTAATTACAATCGATGAAAATATATTTATCAAGTAGGTTGCCGTACTAAGTACATCAAGCAGGAATTTTCTAATTATCATAGCACTAGAGATTATTTTATCAACCATCCTTTGTAACATTCCATTTGTCATCTGTACAACTGCTTAAACAATTTTCGAGACCGTCTTCGCATGTATTTTCATGTTCAAACGAAAATGAAAACAAAAAACTGGAAAATTTTCATTGAAGAAATGAGGCAACCTGCTTTGCTTTTACTGCATTGTCAAGCCATGATATTAGACTAGTCGATTTCGTGCATGTCAAGCTCGGAATTTGTCCATTGGGACCCTTCCAAAAGTTTTCCACTGGATTAGCTGCATTCCACATTTGACAATGATTCCAAAAGAATATCTCACAAAGGCTTTAATAATTTCAGCATTTCATGTCAATCTCACAAAGGCTATATTCCCTTTTTCTTCTTATTGATCAATTCCATTCCCACTTGCCAGAATTTTGCTTTTCTCATATAAACATGATAACAAATGAGGCTTCAGTATTCGACTTTCGTGCGTACGGACACTGTGGGCCATTCCTCTGATTTTTTCATGATATTATTTATTTTCTCATTAGTTGAAAGACTCATCGAGTTTTCATGCAGTGACATGGGGATGCCGCTGGCCTTGCTATATATTCGTGCATGAAGTTTATCATGAGGCAACACCAAACCATTGTCTCCCAACAAAAGCATCAGCTCTGCAAACTCCTCTCAAACACTCCTCAACCCCAGACTTTCCCATCAGAAGTGGCGGAAGCAGTACTCTTCAGCCTTGCCACCGACATATTGAAAAGCCTCGCCACCGAAATGGCGAAACCTGGAGGCTCCTTCGCTTCTCAGAAGATCCAGTTGCTCTGCAGTGCCAAGGACGAGCTCCAAAGCCTTGAGGGCACCGTCCAGACCATCCAAGCTATGCTTTTGGATGCTGAGAAACAGCAATGGCTCAACAACGAGCTCAAGCTCCGGCTCAGGAGGCTCAACGACGTGCTGTACGAGTTACAGGACTTGCTCGACGATGTCGCAACTGAAGATCTGAGGTGGAAGGTCACTTCCGGCAACAAGATGTCAAAAGCCGTATGCGTTTTCTTCTCTAAATCAAATCAGCTTGCATACCGTTTTAAAGTGGCTAATAAGATAAAAGAACTTAGGAAGAAACTGGATCAGATTAAAAATGATCGGGAGTTAAACTTAGAGCGGCATCTGAGCGAGGAAACTCTTTCTATCGTGAGGAGGACAACTCACTCTTTTGCGTGCGAGGAAGAAATCATTGGTAGAGAAGAGGATAAGAAGGAGATCATCGCACATTTGCCTGATTCCTCCTCCAGAGAGAGTGTGTCGGTTGTTTCCATCGTCAGTATAAGGGACTTAGTATTTGCGGAAGCGTGATTTGTTTTGTAAGTGAGTGAGTGATTTAGTGAGTACAAGTGTTGGTACGTGGACTTGAAGCAACAGTAGAACAAAACTTTAGATAGTGGAAGACAAGTAGGAAACAAAGAAGACAAAAAGTATTGTATTATGAAGGCTTTGTACAAGGGACTTAGTTTTTTTCTTCTGATAGGTGTGTTCTTCAAGTGGAGAGGGGTTGGCTATTTATAGCCCTCTTCCACCGCCACTAAGGAAAAATCTATAGCATGTTACATAGATATTTTTCTAGAATTTTCTACACATGTCTCATTATCCTTCTAGAAATATCAAAGATTTTTTCTAGAAACTTTTCTAGAAATATCTTAGATATTTCTCACAACTTTCTAGATTATTCATTTAAATATCTATTCTCCAAAAATCTTGAGCATACTAGAAACTTCTAGAAATTGGATCACTATTTCAACACTCCTCCTTGATCCAATTTCGAGAAACTCCAAGCATGCTTCTTAACATCTCGAACTTGACCAGCGGTAGTGCTTTAGTGAATATGTCCGCGACTTGATCTTCGGTCTTGCAATATTTGAGCTCGATCTCTCCATTATATTGCACTTCACGGATGAAGTGATATTTGATGTCTATGTGTTTGGTTCTTCCATGGAAGACAGGATTTTTTGATATGGCGATCGCAGACTTGTTGTCGCAAAATATTGGAGTTGATTCCGTTTGTGCTTCTCCAATGTCTTCTAGAATTCTTCGAAGCCATATTGCTTGACTAGTAGTCGTAGCAGCCGCGATATATTCAGCTTCTGCAGTAGATTGTGCCACTGAGTCTTGTTTTTTAGATGCCCAAGAGAATATTCCAGAGCCCAGTGTGAATGCATAGCCAGTGGTGCTCCTCCTATCGTCAGTTGATCCTGCCCAGTCACCTGTCTGTGTAGCCAACGAGCTTAGCAGTTGAACTTGGCCGATACCAAATGCCATAATCTGTCGTTCCTCGTATGTATCTTAAAATTCTCTTGGCAGCCCCAAAGTGAATTTGACTCGGACTCTGCATGAATCGTGATAGTAGACTTGTTGCGTATATGATGTCCGGTCGTGTAGCAGTGAGATATAATAAACTACCAATCAGACTTCTGTAGAGGGTGGCGTCGGCTTTTTCTGCTCCATCTTCCTTTAGTGGTTTCTCGTTTGTCACAAGCGGTGTTGCAACTGTTTTGCAATTATTCATCTTGAATTTCTTAAGGAGGTTCTCGGCATATTTCTTCTGTGAGATAAAAACTCCTTCATTTTGGTTGATCTCGATACCGAGGAAGTAGCGCATCAAGCCCAAGTCCGTCATCTCGAATGTCTTCATCATTTCTTCTTTGAATTCTTGAATCATCTTTTCATTGTTCCCTATATATATAAGATCATCCACATACAAGGAGACAATGAGAGTGTCGGACTTACCTTGGGTCTTGATGTAGAGCGTTGGCTCACTCATGCTCCTCCTGAATCCTTGCTTGGTAAAGTATTCGTCTATTCTGCTATACCATGCTCGTGGTGCTTGTTTTAACCCATAGAGGGCCTTCTTGAGCTTGAGGACTTTTTCTTCTTGGCCTTTGATGGTAAAGCCTTGTGGTTGTTCCACATATATTTCTTCTTGAAGATATCCATTAAGGAATGCAGACTTTACATCTAGTTGATAGATCTTCCATTCCTTTTGTGCTGCTAAGGCTATGAGTGCCCGAATAGTATCAAAGCGTGCAACAGGAGCGAAAGTTTCAGTATAGTCAATACCTGGTTGTTGCAAGTATCCTTTCGCCACGAGCCTTGCCTTATGCTTTTGAATTGATCCATCTACATTGAGCTTTGTCTTGTAAACCCACTTGACACCAATGATTTCTTTGTCGTCGGGGCGATCGACGAGCTCCCACGTTTCATTCTTCTCTATCATCTTGATTTCTTCCTCCATGGCCTTAATCCAAACTTCTTCTTTGGTAGCCTCTTCATAGTTCTCTGGTTCTAAAACTGCAAAGTTGCATGTTTCATAAACTTTTCTAAGAGATTTTACCCTTAAAATAGGAGATTCTGAAGTAGATTCTTCTTGTGTTGCGCCAGGAGAGGATGGTGGTGTTACGTCTTGAGTGGTTGAATCTGGCACTTCACCTTCATCTTGTGATGTTGAATCCTCTCGAGCAGGTTGTTTGTCTGGCAAGTTGACATACTTCTTCTCAATCTTTTCGTCCTCCCAATTCCAGGCGCCATTCTCGTCAAATTCGATGTCTCGACTGATCATGAGCTTCTTAGTTCTTAGGTTGTAGACCCGATAGCCTTTTGATTGGTCGCTGTAGCCGAGGAAGATTCCTTTTTCTGTCTTCTCATCTAGCTTGCTCCTCTTTTGAGCAGGAATGTGGACGTAACATATGCAGCCAAACACCTTGAGATGCTTCGCTGAAGGCTTCCGTCCACTCCATGCTTCAACCGGAGTTTTATTTTGGACTGCTTTAGTTGGACATCTGTTTAAGATGTATACCGCCGTATAGACTGCTTCTGCCCAAAACGTGTTGGGAAGGCCTTTCTCCTTTAGCATAGACCTTGCCATCTCCATGACGGTTCTATTCTTCCTTTCTGCTACTCCATTTTGCTCCGGGGCGTAGCCAACAGTTAGTTGATGATGAACTCCTTCATCTTCACAGAATTTATTGAACTCCCTTGAGTTGTATTCCGTGCCTCTGTCGCTCCTTAGAACTTTGATTCTGCGGCCACTTTGATTTTCGACGTGGTTCTTGAATTTTCTGAAAATAGAGAAGACCTCTGATCTTTCTCGAAGAAAGTAGACCCACGTCATTCTTGTGTAGTCATCGATGAATAGGATGAAATATTTATTTTGACTGGGTGTGAGGGTCCTCATTGGACCACACACATCCGTATGCACTAGCTCCAATGGCTTCTTAGCTCTCCACGCACCTCCAGATGGGAAGGATTGTCTTTGTTGTTTTCCAAGCAGACAGCCTTCACAAACATCTGAAATTTCTAAAATAGCTGGAAAATCTCTCATCATTTTTTTTTTTATGGAGAACTTTTAGCCCAGCAAAGTTGAAGTGGCCAAATCTTCGATGCCAAAGCCATGAATCATCAAGTTGAGCTTTCATGGCTACATCTCTGATATATTTCCATTGAATAGGAAAATTCCTATTCTCCATCTTAACAGAGGCAATGATATTTTTATATTTATCATAGATAATGCAGGCATCTTCTCTAAAGTATAGAGAATACCCACTTTGAATCATTTGGCCCACGCTCAATAAATTTTGAGCAAGACTGGGGACAAGATATACATTGTGAATATATTTTGGGCCTTTATTTGTTTCAATGGCTATAGTGCCTTTTCCTTTTACTTCGACCAATGTGCCATTGCCCAATTTCACTTGGGATTTCACCGACGTATCAATATCGGTAAATATAGATTCATCCCCCGTCATATGATTGCTACACCCACTATCAATGTACCACGTATCATTTTTCTTATCATTTGCCGCTTGGCCTGCGTAGAATGTGTTGTCTTCAGTTTCTTTTTCTTCAACATAGTTGGCTCGATTATTTGTTTTCGAGCGACAATTCTTTTCTACGTGGCCATATCTTTTACAAAAGCGGCATTGTGGTTTATTTTTAAACCAGCAATCTTTCTCTAGATGATTAGTGTTCTTGCAAATTCCACAATGTGGGTATTTTTCCTTTTGGATAGTTTCTCCTCCTTTTTTACTTTTCCATAAGCTCCTTCCACCATTTTTAGATTGATGAGACCGTATGTTTATTTTGGACTGAAAGGCACTTTCAACTGAATCTTCATCTTGTGCCATCAATCTTTTCTCATGTGCTTCTAGAGAGCCAATTAATTCACTTACTGACAGGGTCGTTAAATCTTTAGTTGCTTCTATAGTTGTCACAATAGGATTATACTTTCTAGTAAGTGACACTAGTATTTTTTCTACGACCCTTTGATCAGCGATTTCATCTCCATAGGCTCTCATTTGATTAACTAGTTCTTTTAATTTCCCACAGTATTCTTGAACGGTCTCATTTACTTTCATTTTAGAATTCTCAAATTCTCTTCTTAGAGTTTGAAGCCGAATAGTGCGTACCTTTTCTGATCCTTGGAATTCATCTCGTAGTGTTTCCCATGCCTTCTTTGCAGTCTTCGCTCCAATTATCCTCGGAAATACTGTTTCCGAGAGTGCTTGCTGAATAACACATAGTGCCCTTGCATCCTTTTGTAGTTGATCTTTTGGAACACTTGCACCTTCTTGTGGAGCCTCATAACCCTTTTCTACGATGTCCCATAAATCTTGGGCCATCAAGAAAGTAGTCATTTTAATGCTCCAATAGTCGTAATTATTCCCATCGAAAATAGGAATGGGAAATGAGGATGATGTAGAGTTGGCCATAGTTTAGTTGTTGGATAGTTGAATGGGTAGTTTTAGGAACGGGTGGTTCGGACAAACGCCTAATACCAACCAAAAACGTGGCTATGATATCACTGTTAGTATTTGCGGAAGCGTGATTTGTTTTGTAAGTGAGTGAGTGATTTAGTGAGTACAAGTGTTGGTACGTGGACTTGAAGCAACAGTAGAACAAAACTTTAGATAGTGGAAGACAAGTAGGAAACAAAGAAGACAAAAAGTATTGTATTATGAAGGCTTTGTACAAGGGACTTAGTTTTTTTCTTCTGATAGGTGTGTTCTTCAAGTGGAGAGGGGTTGGCTATTTATAGCCCTCTTCCACCGCCACTAAGGAAAAATCTATAGCATGTTACATAGATATTTTTCTAGAATTTTCTACACATGTCTCATTATCCTTCTAGAAATATCAAAGATTTTTTCTAGAAACTTTTCTAGAAATATCTTAGATATTTCTCACAACTTTCTAGATTATTCATTTAAATATCTATTCTCCAAAAATCTTGAGCATACTAGAAACTTCTAGAAATTGGATCACTATTTCAACAGGAGGACTGGGAAAAACCACGCTTGCTGATCTGG